TGATGATACAACTGATATTTATGACCTACACGACTTAACGTTATATTATATAGAAAAGAAAACTACTATACTAAAACGGACAGGAAGAATGCTATTTAATAAAAAATATTGCTTAATATATGGTGTATTTTTGAAACAACTAGATAACATGACAAGAGAACGAATTAATATTTTATACTTTAAACAACCTTCATTTATTCACAAAGTTGAACATAAAAATATTGTTAATGAACTTTGGAACACAAACATTAGCGAAGACAATGAGGAAGATAAATGTATAAAAAAACTGGTCGCAAATGTTAATTATGGACTTTTAGAAAAGGGGGGAGCAACTGACCAGAAGAGCACAGTGTTTAAAAATCTTAAGGAAGCTTTAAACTATCAGGCAGAGTATGGAGGTAAAATACATAAATTAACACATTTCACGACAGAACAAATTACAGTAGATGAAGAGCAATATACAGCAGAAGAAGAACAGGCGTCATATTATATACTTAATTTAAAGGACACATCACGCTTAAGGAATGGTTTTAGGTATGTAAAAGAGCTACTGCTTCAATACCATAATTTTAGAATGTATCAAGATTATTCTAAATTACATCAAAATGGTATTAATGTATTCAGCGTCAAAACAGATGCGTTTACAATAGCGCGATCGGATATAACAAAAGCAAGAGAGCTTTTAATCTTTAATAATGAAATAGGAGGATGGAGAATTTCAAACGACGAATATATTAAATTTCCTACTGTAGATTATGAAATTACACAAAACGAATTAATACAAATACCAATTTATGAAAGTAAAACTATTGATATAGTAGATGAATATGACACAGATAATATTATAGAAATTATTGAACAAAATAATCCTATTATGATTCGTGGAGCACTACCGGGCACAGGAAAATCATATATATGTCAAAAAATGGTTGATAAAAATTATAATGTAATTTTTATTTGTCCTACTAATAAACTATTACAGGCATTCGAAGGCGAAGCAATGACAATAAATAAATTTTTCGGTATTAATTATGGAGATGCTAAATTAGAACCATTTGATTTTACAGATTTTGATGTTATAGTATTTGACGAAGTTTATTTTAGTAATTTAAATATATATTGGAGAATAAAACAATTTGTAGAACAGAATAAGCACAACAAAATTATAATAGCAACAGGAGACACCAAGCAGTTAAAACCAGTTCAAGAGATAACAAATACTCGAGACTATGAAGTATATACTGATAACATTATAGATAACATTTTTGAATATAATATTTTGTTAAAAGAATGTAAGCGACTTAACACACAGGAAGATAAAGATAAACTAAGAAATATTAAAATTGATATTTTTGAAAATAAGTTACCTATTATGAAAGTTATTGAAAAATACTTTGAATATACAACTGACATAAGCAAATCAATCAACAACATAGCATTTTTAAATACAACTTGTAAAAATGTATCAAATGAAATTAGAAAATTAGAAAATAGAAAAGATGAATATGAAGTAGGAGAATTTTTAATTTGTAGAGAATATACAACAACTAAAACATCAGTTTTTAATGTAAATTTCAAATATAAAATTGTTCATATTGGAAGCGATGGAATATTTACGTTGAAAAATGTTAAAACTGAAATTCTACAGTCTTTGCCAGTTGATAAAATAAGAAGTAATTTTATATTTGCATATTGCTCGACTTGTCATTCTGCCCAAGGCAGTAGCATTGATGACACCATAACAATTTTTGATTATAACCATTTTTTGGTAAAGAATTATCCAGAATGGATATGGACTGCAATTACAAGGTGTAGAGATTTAAACAAAGTCAAATTTTATAAATATACGAAAGATATTGATGATGTATTTAATCAAAAATGTATTATGAGTTATTTTGAAAGGAAAATATTAAATTACAAAGAACAAGACAGGAAAGCCAAAAGAACAATACCTAAAGAAGGTTATGTAAATGCGCAATGGTTTTTAAATAATATCACTAATCAATGTAATTACTGCGGATGCGGTTTTTCTATGGATATTAAAAACGGTAATATAATGACAAATCTGACAGCGCAACGTAAATCAAACGAGTTGTCACACGAACTGAATAATATTATTCCTTACTGTGTTAGATGCAATTGTAGTTGTAAATGATAATAATTTAAATAATATTTTAATATTTCTTGTAAAAAAGTATTTAAAGAAATAAAAACTATATATATTATAATAGAAATGGTGGAAACCGAAATCAATAATTATATCAATAAGAAATGCTACAACTGTTGCCACTTCAAAAAGGAAAATATGGAATTATATAAATTAAATTTACCTAATGGAATAGTTAATAATATTATTGATTATTCTTTGGGTAAAGAAAATATATGCAGAACATGTAAAAAATGGAGATATTACCAAGACGCAATCGAATATAATTTAGATATTAAAAGGTTTAATGAAAGAAATGTTGAAGATGACATTTTGATATTTTTAACTGTGTATAAAATACCACCTTATGATTATGTTAGAGTATTTATGAAAATCAGTAAGAAAAAGTATGAAATGATTGACTGCATATTATGGATGTTGGAGTATCAAAGAAAAGAAGGGTTTGATGTGAAAAAAAACATTAAATCATATATTGAAAGTGAAAAGTTTGATGTTAAAAATACAGTGAGAGATATTAATAGTATTATTAAAATGATGTATGAAAGAGGAACGATATATCAATTAAATAGTTATCCTGAATTTAAATTATAACCATACTATGATTATAACATTTATACCCTTATATGTTATAATTATAATGTAAGTATAGCGTTTTATATATTGAAGATAAAATCCTACAAGGTGGGCCATGCGCAACTCCGGAATATCAAAATTTCGAAAAATGATTAATTATTAGTCTTCTCATTGAATTATTGAAAATGTTGTTTCTTATTGAATAATTCTTCTTAAAATGATATATATATTTATCTCTTTTGAAAAAAATATATTTTCTAAAATATTTTGGAAAATGTGTGTTTTTGAAAATAAACATGTTTAGGTGTATTGAATTTTTCAAAAAATAATTCAATTTTTGTTTTGGTATGCAGTACTAAAAAAATATTTATCAAAATGTGTTTAGACTGTTTCAAAAAATGTTTTAAAATGGCTGTTTTGAGGCGCTTATTCAAAAAATGCAAAAAATCCTAGGGTAGACCCTAGACTTTTGAGTCCGAAAAAAGTTGCGCATGGCCTGTCCTAACTGAGCAACCCGCCAACGCCCAGAAAAAAGAAGGGACGCCCCGCGAACTCGAAAGGAGAAAAGGGGAAGGCCAAGGGCCATGGGGGGAGCAAAGGCAACAAGGAGAAGAAGGGCGATTCCGCCCACCCTTGGCGCCAAGGAAAGGGCGGCCGATGGCAGCCGAAGGGGATCGACCGCTCGTCGGCGATCCAACCGAACGTTCCATTCTATTTCTCGAGGTAAGAGCAGTGGGACTACTCGCTAGCCCATTTGCTCGAACCTCACAACAATGTTCAATGATTCCATCAGTGCTTGTGATTTCAATGTCTTTGCTGAAGCTAGCATTTTCCATAGGTGTCCGAGTAGATTCTTCTGCGGGGTGTCTTGACGACGCTTTGTGGTTGCCATTCTAGTTGCTGTTGAAACACCAATGCATTGGCAGGGGCGATCACGCCTGAGGTTTCCTAATTACTGCATGAGTCCGGCAACGCACTAAGCAAAGAGTGCGCCAATGCCGCATCGAACAAAGAAAGGCATGTTCCCTGCGATGAACATAGGTAGGGCACGTTCCTAGGAGGGGTCAGTCATGGCCATGCGCGATTTCGGTCGCGGGGAGGCGCGAAGCGCTGAAGCGGCTTCCCACTAGCCAACTTTTAGGATTCAGTGCCGACCGCCGTTCGGGGAAACAACTTGCGGCAGGATCGGACTCACACTTTTCAATTTTGGGGCCGAGTCAGGTGTCGAATGGTTGTTTCTTTTCGTTTGCTTTGATTACCCATCGTCTCCTGTGTCGATGCATCGCTATACTCCGACATGGGGGGTGTGAATGGGTAGTAAAGCGTTGCCCACTTTGGGCTGTAAGACACCGAATTGACTCATGGCTCAAGGCCATTCGTGGCTCAAGACTAGGAGCTTTAGGGCGATTAGTCATAGGAAAACAAGGGGCGCTTGCTGTGGGACGGGAAGGACCTTTACTCAGGCGGTTGGCGCCCACTATTTGGTGCAAACCTGCCTCTTCTCAGCAACAAGCGCATCCCAAAACCACTGGACGCCAAGGAGCAACACAACTGCAGTTGGTGATGCTGGGGATGCGACATATGCAACAATGAATGCAGCAAACCAATGGTTTGTTGCAAATTTCCAAAAACCGCACAAGACACACGAGCTTTATACAATTCCACGTGATTGCTTCCGAGATGACTCAGCAATGGCAATGATGGTGCACTGGCGACGTGCAAAGAAAGCAGATTTGCCAATCCAAGAGCCGTTTCTCTGTGAGTCCAAATTCCAGCGTCCCAAGGTCAATGCTCTGAAACAAGCACGCGCCAAAATCATGCAACACAAGCTGACTCAGCAACACGTTGAGCAAAACATGCAGCAGCAAGGCCGGCCCGATGATGCCACACGCGTCCAAGCGGCGAGCTGGGGCAACCCCCCCTCCCCGCAAGGCTTAGACTGACAGACAAAGCGCAGATTTCACAGCAACAAAGCAACAAATCACAATTATAGGGCTTTGCACGCCTTTCCATTTGTATCAAACAAATGCCAGTCCCAAAAGCCTACGGTTTTACAAGTAATTCCGGAGGCAGACCTGCTCCCAAGACACTCCTTGCCATCTACGTGCTCGACTAGCGTCGGCGGATTTATTAATAGGGTGCCTTTGTCAATAGGGGAAGTTATGAACCAACAGCTGTGATAAAACCTGAGCATTCCAAGGAGCACCCTGTTTGCCCTGTAAGCCCAGGACAACCCCCTTAATCATGTCGTCCCCTGTGACAGGAAGGCGGAGGATTGCACGTACGCCCACAGTGAGGCGGAGGTTGGAGCCGTGATGGGCCGCAACTCCAACGTGTACTTCGCAACTGCTGACGCAGCTTTGGAGGCTCGCAGGAATTTGCCTGAAGAACTGCAGGGGGAAGCCATGCTGGATTTGGGAGAGAGTCATATCCTCATGTGTCATGACGTGCCAGCCACAGAAGACAACAACCAGGTCGGGATGAAGGTGTGCGGCGCGCATTGGCACGAGGTTGACTCTGTGCGAAGCGCAAAAGGTGACGCCGACTTCCAGAAAACAGTTATCATCACATTTGATCCTATGTCAAGTACTGCGGCAAGGATAGTGTTGGAAAGGCCTTTCTTAGAACTTGAGTGTCGTGATGATGAGTGTTTGCAGCAGTTCCTGACTGCGATGGCGTTGCGGAGATGGCTTGACATTGAGGAGACCTTGGCAAAATTGAGCGAGCTGAGGGACACTTCTGACACTGACGCTGGGGAAGAAAGGTCTGAGACCGCCAGCGTCACGGGACAATCAACTGCCTCAACAGCAACTCCTGCTGAGGCGAGGGGCCACTTGGACGCCATCATTGGCAGCTTCCTTCAGAAGAAGTCGCGCAAGAAGACGCGCCTTTGCACTCACAATGCCGCGGGCCTTTGTGTGAAAGGTGCTGACTGCGGCTTCGCACATAGCGAGGCAGAGGTGGGCACTTTCAGCGCAACCGCCACGGTGACAGTGTTCATGCCGCCCAGCCCGGGCGAGCTGCAGCGAATGGGCAGGCAGTGCGCGGCGGTCATCAAGGGGGCGTGGCCTCGAGCCATCCCACGGGCCTATTGCAGGCACCACAAGGCAGCAGAAGTTGGCCAGTCCTCCGTCGCGTGTTCCCGCGGGATTCTCTGCGATTTTAAGCACGAGCTCAAAGAATGCCGCGAGGGCGCGGCTTGCCAAAGGAAGGCCTGCGTCTTCGTGCACCCGGTGGACATCGACGACATCTTGCGCTTGGATACGCGGCTCGCGGCGCTGAATGGTGAGGGGCGAAGCCTGGTTCAATTGCTGGCGGCACTAAGGGACCACCGCAAGGCCATGGTTCAGTTGCATGGGCTTCCCACGTTCAATCGGAACCCGATCTCATAGGCGCGTCCTTCTCCTTAGCTGATGACACCCGCTGGAAATTAATTTGGCACAGTAATATACACAGCCAGCCCCGGGGGCAAAAGCGCAAGCCTTCCCAACACCAATTTCCACAAACTCTGCGCATGTCCGTTTTGCCAAAACCTCACGGTTACGGTTTCCTGAACGCTGAACCTCACGGTTCCCTTGTTTGCTCATCCTAACTACTACGCTGCTTAGTCGATTGGCATGGTCATCCTTTTCCTGGCGCCCTACGTGCATGACCTCAAACCACCTCCAAGAATCCCGGCGCGCTGTTTCATTCGCACTTAGGTGGATTCACCAGGATGTTGCTTGCAGGATTCGCAATTTACGGGCAAATTTGGGATACATCGGCTCGGGTTCGTTTGGGAGGGTGGCCCTGCGCAGGCCATGACCTGGACGGCTGAGGAGCTGCTCGCGAAGCGCCGGGAGCGCCTGCTTGCCCTCGAGGCCCCGAGACGACACCATGCCCAAGCGATGTAACAATAATGCAGACTGCCGGCCCCCAAGTGGGCCAGGTTTCGCTAAGGGCTAAGGCCGCTTTTCCTTGAAAGTCGGCCCCCCCCCCACTGCCCACCGCAGAGGCAGAGGCGGAGGCGGAGGAGGAGGCGACGGAGGCGACGGACGCGGGTGGCGCGGAGCGGCGGGCCGCGGGGAGGGAGGCCAAGGCGGCGCAGTTGGCAGAGCTCCGCAAGCAGCTGGCTGAGTTTGAGGCCGCTCAGATGGCGCCTGGGCGGACACTTCAAGTGGGAAATGCCCATCAAACCAACAGACCAGCAAACATCAAGAAACCGACAAACTAACAAACCGACAAACCAACAAACCGAAAAACCCACAAACCAACAAACCAACAAACCATCAAACCAACAAACCAACAAACCAACAACCACAACTGGGTTTGTAAGTGCGAAAGTATTCATCAAATCAACAAATTGGGCCACTCGCATGGGCAGAGCTTGCAGCGGCTAGCGGCTACCATCTTTCATGTCAGGCAACCGTGGGAGAGGGTTCAATTCTTTGCTAGGTTCGAAAGGGCAAAATCCATGGGCAACTTGGCGAAAGGAGGAACACGCCAAACATATCCAAAAATACAGGCCCCATCAGCCGATGGGTAGTTTCCTGCTGTTCTTGCGAAGGCCGCCGAACGCGGATACCCTTGCATTCGTTTTGTTTCAGAAACATACGGATGACCCCTTGCAAGTTAAAAGGCGCACTTACTTCCAGACCTGCCGCATGCCCAGTTTTGGGTGGCGTGCTGAGAGAACGAAATATGCCCGACGAGCAGTGGGCCAAACAGAGGGGAGGCACACCCATGCAAAGTACCCTCGTGCTTTTTCTTTCCCAATCAACACCGGCGGCTCCAAGCCCCTCCGTTTTGTAGGGTGGTTTGGGAAACACGGGGTTTTAGCAACCACAGTTCTAAAACGGCACCACGTGTGTGATCCCTACCCTTAACGACACAGCATTCACTGTGGGAAAAACCACTGTCATTATTAGGGGACCCTAGGGCCGGGGGGCCGAAGCAAACAAGTGTGTAAAGTGGCACTTTCCGAGTAAGTAGGTTTAAACGGCAGAGATCGAGCACACACGTTTCGGATTTTCGATTCGTTTCTTAGAAGCCTAGTACAAGTTTAGTGTTGGCTTAGTTCTGATTTACCACGGTTTAGTGTTGGTTTAGCATTGCTTTCAGTATTTGTTCAGAGGGCCCCCCAATTCGACTGCAGTTGGGGCTGGCATGGGGTTGGCAAGGAATGTTGTTTAGTATTGGTTTAATATTGCGGTAATCTTGGTTCGGTTTTAGGGTTTGGGATTTAGGAAACATTATAGATATGCACAGAGATATATATATATATACATATATATATATATATATGCTCACCCCGCCCACTTTTTCACTACTTGGGCCCACTGCTTCACTACTTTCCGGAATATGTTGCTCTCTGATCTGCTTTGTGCTTTCTGATCTGCTGTGTGCAATGCACTTACTCTGCTGACAGCCTCCTTCGAGTAGTACAATCTAAAATCCTGCCCGCCCTTCCTTTCACAGTATGCGCAAAAAGTATAACATATCTAAAACCTGGAGCAACTACCCCTGGGCCCTCCAGCTGGCATTGCCCCAGAGTTTTAGATGTCTTAGATTTTGTGTGTATATGCAGGTTTTGGAGCTTTGGTGCTCCAAAATGCTGTAAATATGCAGCATTTGGTGTCTCAAAGCTCCCAAACCTGCATATGCACAAACAAATCTAAAAATTCAGAAGCCAAAAGCTCGAAAACCTGCATATGCGCAAAAAAACTAAAAATTCTAAAACCTGAGCAACTATGCTTTTTTTGTGCATCTGCAGGTTTTGGAGCTTTTGGCTTCTGAATATTTAGATTGTTTCGTGCATATGCAGGTTTTGGAGGTTTGGTGCTCTAAAATGCTGTAAATATGCAGTATTTGGTGTCTGTGCATGTTTTGTGCATTTTTTGCTCAAAAACCAACAAAAACCCAAGGTTGTTTGCAGTCAGCAAGCAAAAATGCTGGTAGGGGCAATACCTTTGAGGATCTACAAGGTACATGTCAAAAACGGATTCCGTTTTTGTGGTTCGATGCCTGTTTGAATAATTGATGTGTGCAAAATAACATGTTTATGAAAAACTGCAAAATACACCGTAATTTACAGTGTTTTCTGACTATGCTGTAAACATAGCATGGCTGGCATGTAACACACTGCAGTTGATGAAAGCCAAAAAGTGGGCCCCGCAAGGGGGTGACCATATATATATATATACTTGTATTTAGGGGGACCTTCATTATTGGGGGGAAAGGAGGGAACAATTCTAAAACCACGGGCCCGGAGAGTTTGGCGCTTCCATGAGCGTTCTTGCAGGCTTGTTTCGGGTTTGGCGGGCCAAGGACTTTGGGCAGGCAGACCCTTCGTCCTTCCATGCTGCACGGATCTTTGCCCGAGAGGCGGGGTTGGGCAAATTGGGGCGCAAAGCCACCCGCGGAATTTGGAGGCTTGGTCAAAACTAGACATCCTCGGGAGGCTGCGTGAACCGTGGTTCCATGCTTAACCAGGCGGTTGGCTCAACGGCGCCCAGAGGCCTACAATCGCTTTGCAAAGTGCCTTCCCATCTACGCAGAGCGATCTCAGATCATGGAAGCACTACGTGAGGATTACTCCGTATTGGTGCTGAGTGCAGAGACGGGCAGTGGCAAGAGCACGCAGGCCAGCATCAGGCAGTATACTTGAGTATGATTACTATACTCAGTTGTCCAAAGCCGACCTTTTAAGCTTTTGGCTTCCTGGTCCCAAGTCATGTGACACGCATTGGTCCGAAAAGGTTAACCTTTTATTCCCGGGTCCTTTGTAGACAAGTGAGTATGGGATGTCTCTTGACGGGTGTTATGTTCGTCCCCTAGCAGCCTAGTCACATATCGGACAGGGCAGCACGCACACGATCGCATGACCCATGGGATGAACGTAAGAACATCGCATGGGGGCTACCTTTTTCTCAGAATAGAGGGGGGTTCTGCATTTGTCTTCCAGTAAGGCTGATGCTTTCCGCTTGGCTTTTACTGCAGCCCCCAGGTGGTCCAATACATCAGCGAAGTTGTCCCGGGCCGCGTGCTGTGCACTCAGCCGCGGCGACTGGCCGCAAACACGCTGGCAGACCGCGTCGCAGAGGAAATGCAAACCTTAGCGCCCCGGAAGGAGAGGACCAACCTGGTAGCCAGCGACACACGGTCGATGAACAAGAGGAAGCCCAAGATCCAGTTCCTCACTTACCGTGGCTCAGTGTCCAAAGCCGACCTTTTAACCTTTTTGCTTCCCATCTTCTGCTCAAGAAAGTTTAGCCATTGTCCCAAAAGGTTAAGCTTTGAGTTTCGGGTCCTTTGTGCTTGTGAGATTTTCTTGGGAACCCCCACCAACCCACTTTCACAAAATGGGGGCCAAACCCATTCAGGAGGTTCTTAGGTCCTTTGGGCAATTGGGGTGGCTCCTAAAAGGCTGACCTTGTAGTTTTTGGTCCTTTGGGCAAGTGAGGTGGCTGTTCATGTGACTCGTCATGGTCGCAAAAGGTTAGCCTTTTAGTTTTGGGTTGTTTGGGTCCGTAGGTGGCTGTTCATGGTCCCATAAGGTTGACCTTGTAGTTTTTGGTCCTTTGAGCAAGTGAGGTGGCTGTTCATGTGACTCGTCATGGTCCCAAAAGGTTGGCCTTTTGGTTTTGGTCCTTAGGTGGCTGTTCATGTGACTCGTCATGGTCGTAACAGGTTGACCTTGTAGTTTTGGGTCCTTTGGGCCAGTGTTCATGTGACTTGTCATAGTGGTTAGCCTTTTAGTTTTGGGTCCTTGGGTCCTTAGGTGGGGGGGTCCAAACCCATTCAGGGGGTCTTTATCCTTTGGTCCTTAGGTGGCTTGCTGAATATGCTTTACTACTGCCACGACTTGCCGGACGTGAGTGCCGTGATCGTGGACGAAGTCCATGAGCGCAGCGTCGCAGCCGACGTGCTGGTGGCCGTGTTGCGGCGCTGCCTGTCGCTGCGCGCCAAGGCAGGGGCCCGGAACTGGCTGGGGACCCCAGGGCTACGGTAAGGTTCCCCGCGAGTTTTCCCAGTACGTCTGGGCAGGTACCCCTGGAACATGCAACAAATGACAGGATATATGACTATAGAATGGGTACATCACCCGGGTATATAACCTGATATTTACCAGGGGTACCAAGATCCCAGGGGTACATTAAGTTTTATCCCCTAGACCGGCTGTCAAGTTTTTCCAAAGGGCACAATACAGGATTACATTGTGCGATGTTCCCCCCCGTTCCTCTGGTTTCGCTAGCTGGTGCCAAGGAGCTGGCCTAAAATTTGCTTCTAAAGAGGGAGCGACCAGGAACTACCAGGAGTTCTACAAGGACATGGCTGTTTGGGTTCCCCAATGTACCCGGGATGGTTTTGGTTGACATTATTGGGAGTCATGCTTTGGTCTTTGGGAAACGTACTTGTTTGGGGGTCCAAACCCCTACCAAGCAAAGGGCCCCCTGAAGGCTGGCAAGCGCCCGTTCAAGCTGGTGCTCACTTCGGCCACGATGAACGAGTCCCTCTTCGCAAAGTACTTTGCGCGCAAGGCATGGGATGAGGAGTCCCCGCTGGACGACAGCTGGGCACCCACGCTGCAGGTGGGCGGTCGCACGTTCCCAGTAGAAGTGCACTACGAGGCAGGGCCGGGCCTGTTTCTAAAGCGGCCACCTGTGGGTATTCCTTTAAAAGATCCACCAGCACTCCGGGCTATCAAGCTGTACCTAAAGTCATTTTTAACTTTGATAGGGTACCCTGTAACTTTTGGTATTCAAGGGTCATTTGATCACCCTTGGAGAGGGTGCTGGCAGGCTCTGGTTGTTGGGTGCCAAGGGACCCGGCCAGGCGTCAGGCAGCCAGAAGGACTACGCCCGTGCGGCAGAGGCCAAAGCGATTGCCGTTCACAAGTTGCTACCAGCGACTGACTTGGATGCCAGAGTCAACAAGGACATGATGAGCTGCACGTGGAACCAGCAGACTTACTTCTTTGCCGTTTGTTGTTCAATTTCCTCCTGGGCTACGGTATCATGACTCCCCACGGACTCACAAGCGGGCGGTGCCCAAAGCCGTTGTTGCTAATGTTGGAAGTGGATGTTGAAGGGACATGAAGCATGTCAAAAGAATCGGGTTCAGCTCATGGCCGGCGCTGGAACACTTTTGCTATAACCCCAAAGGGCCCCCACTGCCAGCTACTGGGAAGCCCCAGGGCCACAAAGGGCTCATGCATTCATAGAGGGGCGCAGCACGGGGAGCTGATGGGAAACAGGTTCATGAACCAGGGGCTTATGCGTGGGGGAGGCTGCGACCGAGGAAAACGATCCAGATCACCACAAGCGACGCTATTCATCAACCAGTAGCCAACGTTCCTTGCGGCAGGTTCCTCGCTTTCGCTGGGTTGACATTCATAGGCAACATGTTGGACGGACACACGAACGGCTGTGTTCAGGTTGGGCAGCCGAAAGGAAACTAGCAAACCGAGACTATCGTGCCAGCATTCCCAGCCCCCCAGACCTCCAACCCCTCACCTCACTTATTGGGCAAGCCCGCAGACCCAGTCCCTGCTTTGGCACCCCCTGAAAGACCCAGACAATCTTTATTGGGCGTTGCCTCCTGTGGCATCCCTTGGAAATGATTGGCATCCCCCTGTACCATCCCCCTGGACCCCCAAATCAAAGGATGAAGGTAAGCGCCCATATGTAAACCCACAGCTGTGTTTCATACCAAGGCTTCAGACAGCGCTTTATACATGGGTATGTGTCCAAACGAGGGACCCCTGGTAGGATGGTTTCAAGTGTAAATCAATAGGAAACCTCTGAACCATTGAGAGGGGTCCCTACTTTTGACACAGCCACATTGAACACTTTTCAGGGATGGGTTTTGGATATATACCATTTATAGAAGTGGCACTGCCTTACAAGCTTATATTGGTGGTGCATAGGCCGTCTCCAAAGCCCATCCCTGCAAATGCCCTCGAACAGCAGCTTTGGCACATTCCCGCATAACATAAGCCTAAACAAATGGAACAGGGTTCGGGGTACCATAACCAGCAGGGAAATCATGGCTCCTTACTTGCAATATTTAGGGCTTCCACCGTCGTACCTCCAAAGCCCATCCCAGCAAATTGACAGGATCTACAAGGCTTCCCCCTAAGTGGTGCAATGTTTGGGTGGGAAATAGAATGACCCTTGTCTGATCCAATCCCTGCAAATGCCCTTGAGCAAATGCCCTGACCCCCTGGAGGACATCCTGGTGTTTCTGTCCCAGGCGGACGAGGTGGAGCGCTGCGCGCGGGCGCTGCGGGAGGCACTGCCGGACTGCCTCTGCGTGCCGCTGCACGGGGGCTTGGACAAAGAGGAGCAGCAGGAGGCGCCGCAAGGGTCATATGGGTGGTTTCTAAAACAGGTTGGGGGCCCCAAATTACTATGTGAGCAACTGACAACATTACCAGCAGAAACCGATAGGGGACCACCCTAAACCGATACCCATGAAACCGGCTAAACCAACAGGGGACTACCAAAAACCGATACCCCAGTAATATTCCAGCTGCTCATATGGGTTTGTTATGCTTTGTGGTTGTCTTTTTGGCTACGAGACCAAATTAACCACAACAAACCATCACAAACCTCCTGCTGCCGCAGCCATAGAAAACACACCATAACAAAGAAGAGGTCAAGGGTCATATGAGTATGTGGTTAATTTGGGCCGGACATGGGGACTACCAATTCCCCCACAAAAACCAGGGGGACTACCCAAGGGTCATATGAGCTCCATTCAGAACTCCCTAGCAAAGGAAAGCAAAAAAGGGATGACTCTGAGGAAGCTGCCATATCATATGGGTTTGTTATGTTTTTGTTTTTGCTACCAAACGAAAGCAACCACCCCAAGCCACCACCCCAAACACACTTCCACTATATGGGTATGATTTTTAAGACTGGCGACCTCTTGGGGGATTTATGTCCACCAGCCAAATCATGTCAGGGGTGCCCTACTAAAGTTCATACACATTCAGTGATGTGGGTCTGTCTCAAAACAGGCTGACACTGAAATCGCGGTTTTCCTGTTTTTCCTTTTAAAAACAGCCAAAAGGTGGTTTATGAGCACTTCTGATCCATGAAACGCCCCCGAGCCGCGCTTGCATAAAGACCCCCTACTTCTGATCAACTAAAAGCCCCCAAGCCCCGCTAGCCTTAAAGACCCCCTTCTTTCTCTTCTATATGCCCATTGGAGCCCCGTCAGCCAAAAGAAGCCTCTACTTCTGATCAACTAAATGCCCTTGGAGCCTCGCAAGCCCAAAGACCTCCTACTTCTGATCGACTAAATCCCCCGCCTAAAGATCCCCTACTTCTGATCAACTACATGCCGCGGAGCCTGGCTAGTCTAAAGCTACTTCTGATCAACTAAATGCCCCCAAGGCCCGCTAGCCTAAAGCCCCCCCACTTCTGATCAACTAAATGGTCCCGAGCCTCGCTAGACCTCCTACTCATGATCAACTAAATGCCCCTGCGTCTTGCTTGCCTAAGGACCTCCTACTTCTGATCAACTAAACGCCCCCGAGCCGCGCTAGCCTAAAGACCCCTTCTTTCTTTTCTAAATGCCCTTGGAGCCCCGCAAGTGAAGACCACCTGCTTCTGATCAACTAAAAGCCCCAGAGAACCGCTAGCCTAAAGCCCCCCTACTGCTGATCAATCTTCCTACTTCTGATCAACTAAATGCCCCTACCTACTTCTGATTAACTAAATGCCCCCGCTAGCCTAAAGACCCCCTAGCCTTAAAGACCCCTTACTTCTGATCAACTGTAAATGCCCCCCGAGCCGCACTAGCCTAAAGACCCCCTACTTCTGATCAACTAAATGCCCCCGAGCCGCGCTAGCCTAACGACTCACTTCTGACCTCCTACTTCTGACCAACTAAATGCCCAAATGCCTTGGAGCCACGCTAGCCTAAAGACCCCCTACTTCTGATCAACTAAATGCCTCGGAGCCCCGTCCGAAAGACCCCTTCTTTCTTTTCCAAATGCCCTTGGAGCCCCGCAAGTAAAGACCCCCTGCTTCTGATCAACTAAAAGCCCCAGAGCACCGCTAGCCTAAAGCCCCCCTACTTCTGATCAACTAAATGCCCCCACCTACTTCTGATGAACTAAATGCCCCCGCTAGCCTAAAGACCCCCTAGCCTTAAAGACCCCTTACTTCTGATCAACTGTAAATGCCCCCGAGCCGCGCTAGCCTAAAGACCCCCTACTTCTGATCAACTAAATGCCCCCGAGCCGCGCTAGCCTAACGACCCACTTCTGACCAACTAAGCGCCCCCGAGCCGCGTTAGCCGGTTGTGTATTCAGCGCTCACCTACTAGTTCTAGCCCTTGTATTTGTGTATTTGGCACCCTTCTACGAATGCTAGCTTTGTTTGACCCCTTTCTGACAGTTCTTAGCCTTCTGGTTGCTTTTGTGCTGGTTTCCCTCTAGGGCTCAGTTTCTAAGGTTAGTTCTTTAGTTGGTTTTCCCGGATCTTGTTCCTGGTTTCTGGTTAGTTGGCGCCAGGCCTTCCGGCCAGCGGACAAGGGCCGGTTCCGGCGGAAGATTGTGGTGGCCACCAACGTGGCGGAGACCTCTGTGACCATCGACGGCGTGGGGGCGGTCATCGACTCAGGCATGGCCAAGCAGGCGCGCTACGACCCGGCGAAGGACACGGGTCCCGTCGAGATTTTCCCTCTCTGTAGGTGGCTTTAAGCACCTTAGGGGCCATGTTTGCAGATATTGTGTCCTTTTGGGTGGCTTTATTTCCTTTTTAGCTGGATTTAAACACCTTAGGGGCCATGTTTAAGCAAGACCTGGCTTTCCGCAATCTCATCATTTGCTTACAGCCCCGCGCCACACCAGCATATAATCAAACCACTCGCCAAAATCTATATAAAATGCTTCAAGTTATTCATTTTGAAGAATAACTTAAACCATTTCAAACAGTCTCGCAACAGTTATTGATATGTCTTTCACTTGATACATGGTCGCACCAAGCGTAATAAATTTATGTCTTCTTACATTTTAAACATCTAAACCACAGCACACCATTTTTCAATTCTTTTTCGTCAGGTCGTTCCAATTTTTCACCATTCAAACTTTTCTGTAAATATTGATGGTTCCCAGATTTCTCGTGTTGAGACTTCTTTTCTTTTTTAACTTCATAATCACACAATTCGCAATAATGAACTTTTTGCCGGTTTGCTTGTATTGTTGCTTTCCCTTTCTCGCTTTCTCTGTATTTCCTATTCTTTTCTTTTATTTGTTCAGAGTTATTTTCTCTGTATCTGCGCAGTGTCTCAGCCACTTTGTCAGGAATATTCAATGTCCATTGCTTCTTCTTTTTATCATTTTTAGTCTTATTTTGTTCTCGGCAGTAATTACAAAGTTTAATCATATTCTTAAACAAATCAGATGAATAAGTAGTATCACATTGCTTACATTTTTTCACTTCTTCAGTCATCCTCTACCAGAGTAAGAGACTATCCCTCTAAATAGTTTTAGACACAATAAATATCAAGGTTTAGTTTTCAACCAAATCCCTCTAACGAGGTCTGGGTAAGCCACCTGTCCCGAAAAACAAACACCAAACAACAAACCACACAAAAAACAAAACAACAAACAATACAATAGACTTTTACAACACACTCACCAACAACTCACAAATCAACTCACTTGGGATTTTGTATAAATCTTCTTGCTTATGCTTTACATAATTTTCACCCCATCTTTCCCTCTTTCCACTTGGTGCCCGTTGTGCAGTTTCAATATGTTTATTATTAACAACTTTACCGCAGTCTTTTTTACATAATGGTCTCGCTTTCCAGTTTGTTAGATTGTTCCATAACCGTGTTCTCTTACGATAGTTACATCCATATTTACAATAGTCAGTGTCATTAAACCTTAACCCATTCATAAAAGACTGACTTTTCAATAATCCTGTCTGCGGATTTTCAATAACAAAATACGGAAAACCGAAATAATCAATTATCTCTAATGTTTTTAATACAATACTATTAGCATATTCAATGTTTCTTATTCCCGTTGCTTTTGCTATGCTGTATTCTATACACGGGGGTGATGCCAAAATAAAATCAAAATGGTTCTTATCAACATGCTTATAATCCCATTCAAGTATATCACAATTAATATCAGCATTTTTCAAATCCAACGATATTACATGAAAACCTAAATCTCTTGCAATTTTACCAACACTGCCTGTGCCACTGAATAACTCTAGTAAATTCATTTATTACAGTTATTTAGATTTTAATTAATTTTTTGCAATCTCATATTTTCCCTCTTCGTTCTTAAGCAGTTTATAATATTCAATGGTTTCCTCTTTTGGTTGCTTAATACGCCCTTTGTTTAACATTTCCACATATTGTTTTGTTTGTCTTCAAAAGACCCTTTCGGACGACCCAATCCTTTCTTCTCAAAGATTTTACCCATCTTCTCCTTATCGTCTTCGTTATTGCTTTTAGGTTGGTTTGTTTGTTCATCAATAGTCTTAACAAGTTCGGACAATGCTTTAACATTCTTACTAATATTTACAAGTTTTTCATTAAATCGGTAATTGTAAAACTTTCATTTTCTGACATTTCTATATATATAAATATCTATATATTTATATATTTATTTATGCGTTTGAAGTGGTGTTAAATCTACTCTTTATTTGTTAATGGTTCATCATTTCTCGTATGGTGTCCTGTGTTTCATTATCACCATTATCCGAGAGTGATGCATCCTTACCCCATTTAAAAGTTATATTATGAACATATGTTTCTAAGTTGATACTGTCTTTAGTTTTATCAGTATTCATTTTCTTATCATTTTTACTAATTTTGAAACTTGTTGGAATACACTAGCATTTACAACTTCCCTTCTTCTGAATTTCTAACTCATTTTTAAGTTCTAACATTTTTTCACATTGGGCAAGCAAACTCAATAACTGCTGTTTCTTTAACAATTTCTTCTTTTTCTCTTTTTCCCCATTTATATTAAAATTTACATTTTTATTTTTGATATATTGTATCCCTAACATAATTAATTCTAATGAATAGTAACAACATTTTTTAATTTTATTATCAGATATGATTACTTGTTCTACTTTCTCAACTTCATCTATTATATTGATATAGTCTGAAAAAGTCCTATCCATATAAAATAATAGGATAAATTATTATACATTAATCTTATTATTAGAATATTCGGGGCTCAGCAATGGGGTTTTCTTTGCACTGGACAACGCAAGCGAGGTTCAAACTAATTCAAACTAATTAGCTTCAATGCTTATTGATTGAAGCAATGGAAAGCCTGTTCCATTATGTTATTCACCACCACACATAACATAATGATGTTCCATTCAATAAGAACTACAAGTTTTTTTAAAAAACAATATATAATTTAAAAAGTAAGTTAATGAAACTTTAACAAAATAAAGTTTCATCAAATTATTGGTTTATAAGTATTTATAATATTATTATTGTGCCTGATGTTCCCATTATTAAACCGATAAACATAACTGACTATGAATTTAAACAGTCTAAATATGAGCACGTGCCAAAACTACCATTTACAAGTATTATAGTTGCTTTTTCAACAGGAGGAAAGACAGTGCTTATTCAAAATTTAACATTGAATGTTTATAGAAATTCATTCGCAAGAATATTTATATTTTCACCCAGTGTGCATATAATGACTTTACATTTACAGAAGTTAAAAAGTATATCCGTGATGAGTTACACGTGGATGATGAAAAAGAACAGATATATGTTGACAATTATAATCCAACGGATTTAGAAAATGTAATAGAAAGACAGAAGAAAATAATAAATTATATGAAATCTAAAAAAAATAAAGAAACTACATTCAATATTAACCGTGATAGACGACCATGCCGATGACCCTAAATTTGTTAGATATAGTAAATTATTACACGGACTTTTTACAAGAGGTAGGCACGACGCCGTAAGTGTAATTTGTTTAAAACAAAAACATAATGTTTTGGCGCCAATCATTCGTTTAAATGCCAGTTCAGTATATATGTTAGGTTGAAAAATGCCAGTGAATTAATGAGTTTTATTGAAGAAAATAGCGCCATTGTTGATAAACAGCAATTATTAGATATGTACCATCAAGCCGTTAATTTTGCTCCATATTCTTTTTTCTACGTGAGTATGAATTCAAAAAACATTAACAACATGTTTCATATCAATTTTGAACAGACATTTCAAATTACAAATGATGAATAAAATAAATCCAAATTAAATAATTAATTATATAAATAAATAAGTCTAATTAAATATATTAGTATTATATGATATTTTATGATTTACCAATAGACATTAAAAAAATCGTATTATCTTATAATTTAGGCGATGTTAGATTATTGAAAATAAATAATAACAATATTATTAGAAATTATATTAATAAATTTAAACCAGTGCATATGTTTTACAAATTAAGAAATATACAATATTTTGAAATTGACAATATTAATATAAAAAATGGAATATCATATATTTTTAATTTAAGCGAGTTAGATAAATTGCATCAAAACATAAACCATTAAAATTATCAATTGATTACGTTGTGTTTATTAATACTGAGTCAATTAAAGGTCCGTGTCCTGTTGATAATCGTATTTTAACATCAAATAGTTTATTTGATATTTTTTATTTTATGAACAATGACATTAACAATAAGACAAATACATTTAAATATATGGTTGATGATTTTATTTCATTACGATTGAAAAAATAACTATTAAAATAATCAATGATGATAAACAAAGTTTTATTAGTAAATTTTATTCATATTTTTTAATTAACAATATGAATAATTTTTAATATTATTAATTCAGCATAATGAATAATTACATAATTGAACAGGAAACCTATATAATAATTTTGTTTGTTTTTCTTCTTCTAATTTATTAACTTTTTCATTTGGTGTTTTTACACTTTTAATCAAGAGACGCTCACGCGTATCTTCAACATCAATTTCATTTAATTTATCAAGAGGTGTATTATCAATATCAGTTTTCTTTTTGAAAAACCACATTATATATAATATTATTTAGATTTTAATTGTTCAAAATTATCTTTTTGTGGTTCTTCTTCTTCGTCTTCAGTTGGTGCTGGTATTTCTGTTGGACTTTCAGATGAAGAACTATGAACAGTAATAAGTGGAGAACTATGAACACTAAGCTTCATTTGATGAATTGCTGCTGCTACCTTGTGCATTTCCTGCCGTTATTTGATTAACTAAATCTGCGATATTTAGAGTTGTTGCAATTGCGCTATGTGATAAGTTTAATTTCATATCTGCTGTAGTAGCGCCGTTGTGTAGCATTATTTCTATCAGTTTTGTCAGTTTGAACTTCTTTTCTTCTTCGTCGCTACTGTCCTTGTCCTCTGGTGGTTTCTTTGGCGGTGGTTCTGGCGGTTTGTTGTTGTCAAGCATTGTAGTAAAGGCTGACACCATTGTGTCGCGTTGGTTTTTCAGTGTTTGTGTTGCTTGTGTTTTTGTTGGCTCATTTCTTTTGTATGTGTTGTGCCAAAAGTTTTTAAGCATTATTTTAAACATATTGTCTTGGTTTTCCTTTACCTTAAACGCTTCAAATGTCACGTTTAATGGTTGGTCTGCATGTATCATTGTATAAC